AAAAGAGGTTCAATCATCATTTGTTGAATAAATAACCTAGGATACATGAACAAATGTTACAGAGGAGATGGAAAATACAAAGGAAAACAGGAAACTGTTACAAAAGAGGCCGTGCTTGAGCTGACCCTGTGACCCGGTGAAGGCCCAGCAGAGCACGTGGCATTCTGGGTGCAGAAGAGGCACCAGGTGGTGACACTCCAGGGGACAGGATGTGAGGCTGACATGAGGTTTCCACCAAAGCCAATGAGGAATCGTGACAGTGGCTGCGATCAAGACACAACTCAAGCAACATCGGTCAGCGCTAGGCACGCTCCAGGGTCCCCACGTTCTGTCAGCTCCCCATAAGGATTATCTTACCCCACAAGACAGGGGTACGAGGACTGAGAAGCCGCCTCCCAGAGGCATAACTGGGAGAGGGTTTCACAGCCGGTGGAGGGCAGGCTGGACTCCGAGAGCTGCTCCAGCTCTGGGCCTGGGGCCTGGGGATTGCTAAGCCACGCAGTCTGAGGCCTGAGGCCTTCCAGGATGTCTGAACGGTGGGGCTCAGGAGTTCCACCCGCCTCACGTGCTCTGGAATCTCCAGGCAAAGCATCGATGAGGTTGTCAGCGATCAGAGGGGAAAACCCACATCCACAGTCATCGTCCTGTGGGGTCGTGTTCGGGCCCTTAATTGTGTGATTTTCGAGTCTTGTCTGGGTTAAATTGCTTCCATATTCTTGTTCCCCTGTTACGATGCCACGCCACATTTCAGGATGCCAGCGTCAAATCTGCAGTATTTACCTTGCCACAAGGACTAGAGTGGGTTTTCTTTTTCCTTTGTTTTGTTTTCTTTCTTTCTTTCTTTCTTTCTTTTTCAACTGACTTTGCAGACTTTTGAACGCAGGGAAGAGAAAGCAAGAATAAGGAGAGGGGTAACCACTGCTTTGAGTACCTGCTGTGATTTTCACACGGAGCCAACTTCATATTGGAACGTCTGGCTCCGCAGACCCTGCCAGCTGGAAGGGAGCTGCAAAATGCATGATGATATTCCCTGGTTAAGCCCAAACCTTCCCAACCATGGGGCATCTGGGCCCTAAAGTCTCCCTCCAGGGCCTGGGGCTCCTGAGCATCTCAGATACGTGGGACCTGCTGTGCCTGGCGCTGCCCACAGCAAGGTTCTCACTGAGAGCTGCGTCCACGTGTGCAGGAGTGATGTGTGCTGCAACAGCTTCAGAAATGCCTGTGCCAGGCCACAGTCCCACAGTGGGTGCAAGGCCCAGTGAGGTCTAGGTCCAGGGTCTCTCCACTCCTGTCAGATTTCTTCCACCAGCCCTCACCATGTCATCTGCAGGACTTAAACCCAAATGTCACCAGCTCCCCAGAAACAGAGCCACCTTTCACCAACTGTTGTTGGTGAATGACCGCAGAACCATATTTCTGAGAAATGTTGATGGAGGAGAAGTGGAAACTAGCTTCGTGTGTCTGGGAAGCTGCTGCTAAAAGCAGCTCAGATCCCTGAACCTGCGGAGATCACCTGGGCAGCGAGCCCCCGAGCACCTCCGCCCACAGCCAGAGCCAGAGCCAGCCCTAGTCAGTGTCTGCCCAGCTCAGGGTGAGGCCCAGGGAGGAAGGCCTGGCCACAGTGTCACCTGCAGCCTGGCCCTGGCATCTCCCCCTGTGCCAGGCAATCCCTGCCCTCCCACTGTACCCTAAGCATGAGCTCACTGGCCCCTGAACCTGGGGGTCCCTCTCTCACTATGTCCCCATGCCCTGGCCCCAGTGTGAATGGGCCACACTTCACCCCTTTGAAAGCTTCCAGAAAATCACTGAGCCACAGGCCGCCTGGGTGCAGGCAGCTCCGCCATCCCTCAGTGCTGCCGCACAGCCTCCACAGCCTAAGGATCTCAGCTCTCGCAGGGCCCCAGGCAGTTCTGCATGCCCCCAGCAGCCCTGCCACCTTGGCCACATAGGCCAGGCACCTAGGCACTGAGCCAGGAGCACGCAGAGTCACCTGGGTTGATAACACTGCCCAGGGACACTTTCCCAAGGCAGGTCAGGGAGGCCCTGCTGGGCTTGCTGCACACGGCTTGCGGGTGTCTCCAGCTCGGCCTCAGGGTGGCCCAGGTCACCTCCCTGGACCCAGGGTCTGGCAGGCTTGAGCCCCTTGGCTGCCACTGCCCACGCACAGCAGGCAGCTGCCAGGCTGCTCACTGGGCACCCCCACTGAGTCAGCCTGGTGTGCTCGCAGCTATTTTGTAAAACGCAAACCTTCCTGTTACCACCATCACCCTACTGTGCAGTAGGAGCCCAGCATTTACGGGAGATTTCTGTGTCTTAACGTGGAATAAGGCTGCTAGGTGAAGAAGGGATGGGGAGCTCCTGGCAGAGGCAGGAAGGAGTGAAGCACCAGGCCTAACCCGTAGGAGAAATGTGGGGGTTCTGGAAGACCCTGTGAGTAATCGACAATTACTCCTGGTCTAGGTAGACAACAGGCACATTCTGGAGATGTAAACTTGGTCACAGAGCAGCCAAAGGTGCAGGTGTGGCCTGGGCAGGAGAGCAGCACCTGCACCTAGCGAGGGCCCCGGTACCAAGGACACCTGGGTGCACACCCCAACCACCAAGAATCCAGTGGGGTGGCAAGGGCTGGTGGGCATGACCCACAAAGCGGCTGGGCCCTGGATACAGGCTGGGTGTCCCCACGCTGTCTGTGCCCCTTGCTGTGCTGAGGTGAGCCAGTGAAGGGCTTGAGGCAGCCCGGGCCTTTGCTCTTGCGTGTGTTTCCTCGGCTGCTGACAGGGCTGCTATAAAAGTCTAAGGATCCTTCGAAACCTCATACCCCAGGGTATCCTGCCTTTTTCTCTGGGAGGCAGGAGGGAGACAAAAGGTTCCTCATGCCTGGAAGGGGGCTGGACGGTAGAGGTGGGGGAAGGGGAGAAGCCCTTTTCCCTCCCAACTTGAGTCCTGAAAAAATATATTGGCTTAAGATCTTCGCAACATGGTGTTTAAAGACCCTAAAAATTCCAATAAAATGTAGCTTTCCCTAGAGAGGGAGCCTGCCAGAGGCCGCTGGCCTCACCTTTGTCGAAAGCCAGACAGGAACAGTGTGACCCCTCCATGGGCTGACCTGCCCGGACAGCCCCATCATGGGTCTGAGCCGAAGCCCTAGTGTCCTTGCCTGGCCCTTCTCCCAGCCGCTCTCCCTGAACAGGAATTAAAGTCGTCCCTTGACTGGCTATGGAATTGGCTTCTTTCTGTGATTTTTTTCCTTTTTCTACCAAAAGGAGTTCAAAAGTTGAGAGCTGATTTGTATTCCAAGCACCAGGCGAATTGCTGCAAGCCCAGCTCACTGGGGGACGGCGATGGGAGCATCAGCTGTGCCCTCCAGCCCCGAGTGACAGCCTGTGCCTCCGGCCTCAGCTGTGCCCTCCAGCCCTCAATGAGAGCCTGCTCCCCTGGCCGGAAGAGCTTCCTGGGTGTTGCTGCTGCTCTCCCCTCCCCCAACTCCACCCCACTTCTGTAATAACCATGTCCCTGCTGTGTGCACCTCCTCTTTGTGATAATAACGGCCAATCCGCATGCAGTGATGGAATTCAGGGGGGATCTCCAAGGAATTCCATTCTGAGGCCGTTCCAGAGAGCAGCAGGCACATCATTTGCATGCATTTGTATAAGTTATGCATCGGTATACACTTCTCTTTAACATTGCAACCTAATGAAATCACTCAGACGGGCACATTAAAAACACGATTTACGCTGGGAAGTCTGACCCTTCTCCTGTTAAATCATTTGAATGATCATTTGAATATATTTGCACAAGTGGCACATTAAAGGGCTCTCACCCATGTTTTCAGAATTAATGAAACAATCCAGCTGCCTTCAAGGAGAGGGTGGAGGGACGTATCTACGGTTTGCCTGGAACCGTCCAAGGCACAAGCGCCTGCTCCAGCCACAAGACAGCCCAACAAGGACACCCAGTCACCATGCCAGGGTGTCCTCAGGCATCAGAAAATCAGCCCACAAATTCTCAAACACAAAGTCATTCCACTAGCCCTCAGTTTAGAAAAACAGAATTGTCCCTTTGTGGAGAAATGAAGGTGTCAGGAAAAGTTAAAGCAAGCAGAACAAGAGGGCGCCAGCACCTCAGCTGTGGGGAGTCCGGGATAAAAGAGTAGCATGGGAGCCACGCTCACACGGCTGGGCGCGCCCGCCCGACAGGGGCTCCCACTCAGCGCTGACAGCAAGGCTGCGGGAACCCCTCTCCCGGCAAGGGTTAACGTGCACTCTGCGAGATTGGCAGGGATGCTGGAGCTCATTATGCAGCAAAGACTTGAAAGCCAGCTCAGAGAAGCCCTCCCTGGAATGATTTAGGTGCAGCTGCACCAGCCTGGAGGCGGGTGGCTTCTCAAGGTCAGGCGGCTCTGGCTCGGTCCGGCTCCCACGGAGCAGACAGCATTTGAAATGTGCTGTGAGGGGCGGTGAGGCAGCGATGAGGTCTTGGCAGGAGGGCCCAGGCCAAAGGGTCCTAAAACACACCTTCCCACTTAACATTTTACAAAGTGCATCTTTCACATGCAACGTTTTCCCATCTGCTCTTGATGAAAACCTTTAATTAATAGATAAAGAAACTCTTCCAAGACGTGTGTGGCTTGCTCCAGGTTGCTCAGCTGTCACAGGGCAGCACAGAAGTTGACTTTCTCCCTCCCACCCGAAATCCCAGAGCCCCGGATGTTAGTCATGCAGGATTTTTCTCAACCACTTCCTCGGACTTGCAACAGGGGTGCCCTGTTTGCTTGGCCCACCTTGCTCAGCTCCTTGCAGGAGGAAGCACATGAGCCAGCAAGTGTGGGATCTGGTTGGCTGCTTTGGGCGCTGGCGGGATCATGCTCCAGGCAGGCTCCCCAGTGGCACCCAGATGGGGGTGCCTGTGACCCCTGAAGCCCCAGAGGATGTGTCACAATGCTCTTAGCTCAGCTGTCTGACAGTGATGTGCTACCAGCTCAACAGGCCCCTTGCCTGGTCATGTGGGTCAGCTGCCCTCTGCCAGGGAGGGCAAAAGTCCAGCGTTCCAGCCTTTTTTGGGTACCCGCACTCGGTAGGCTCCAAGCTCTTCTCACATCCAAGAAGAATGAGGTCACGCCGACACTTGAAGGATGGTGAAGGCGGAGAGTTTTATTAAGCAATGGAAATGGCTCTCACCAGAGAGGGAAGCTGGAGAGGGGATGAGACGCTCTTCCCTGAAGGCTAGTCATCTCTGGCTGGCTCTTCTCTGAAGTGAAGCCCATCTCTCCTCCAAAGTCCAGCCATCCCTGTAGAGTCAAGTTGCCTCTCTCCAGTCAAGCCACTTCTCTCACCTCTACCGACTGAGTCTGGGGTCTTTACAGGCACAGGATGAGGGGGTGGGGTGGGCCATAGGCAGTTTTGGAAAAGGCAATATTCAATTGGTAAAAAGACATTTTTCAGAAAGAACCAATCAGGAGACAGCAGGTGAATGGGGATAGAAGTTCTTACTTTGGGCAGCGGGTTTCTGACTTTTTGGCTTGAAGGTGGGGTTTTGCCAGGGACCCACTCCTGTCTTCCTGGAATTTCTCTGCCTCTTGCCTCTCTCATTAGGACCCCATCCCCTGCCCCAGCGTGCACTCCAGGCAGCTTTTTGGCTAGAAGCTCATCGTCTCCATAGTGGGAGTTGCGTGGTGTGGACTCAGCACCCAGTGAGGATAATTCCCTCCTGGTGAGCATGACTGAGAATTGGCCCCAAAGAGTGTCACCTCCTCAGAACACCTGGCCTCTCGGACCCCAGTCCCCCACCTCCACCTCCATGTGGAACCAGCTCTAATCCCAGGGCACAGCAGGCATCTCCACCTGCCAAGCTCAAAGAGGCTCCAGGGACCCCCCACCCCAGAATGGATATAAAAGGACAGCAAGCCAACAACCTGTGTCTGCCCAGAGTTAGAATGAATCTCACAGGCTTCTGACTTCCCCAGCCTGGGGCCTGGATGGACCAATCTCAGACCAGTCTCCTGTTCCTTTCTAGAACCGTCAGTCTCCCCAGGTCTTTGCGGATATGCCAACTTCTCTGGAAGGAGCAGTCTCACTGTCTCATCCCAGCATCTGCCCAGCTCCCGCCCAGCTCAGCAAAGGTTTATGGATTCCTGTGGCATGCAAGGCACCATCAGACCCTGGTGCCACGATGAACTAGGTGATGATGGTGCAGGCTGTAGGTGTGCAGCCTTTCTGGGATCAGCTGGAATTCGTCCTCACTAGGCTTTCTGCCCTGATGGGCAGATATTTTTCGGCAACTGCAGCCACGAGTATTTCCTTTGGCAAAAAATCTTCTCACTGCTGCTCTGTCACCCAGGCAAGGCTGGTTTCAAAGAAGAACATGAAAATTTTTCCTTTCATTCTCAGCTCACCTGTCAATGAACATTTCATGTCACCTTTTCGAACACAAAGTGACAACATGGTTCGGTTTAAAATCATTTATTCTCTTTTTCAAACAAAAGATCTGAGTGTGGGGGAGATGAGGTCAGAGGCTGCCGGGAGTGTCTTGTCCCTCGGTCTATACAGAGTCACTGTCCCAGAGACGCACACTTCCTGCCTGTGCTCTCTCGTCCTCCACAGGAGTCAGGTGAGGCTGTGGGGAGTCCCCTGCTGCGGGATGTGCAGCTTTGCAAATCTGCAGGGCTCTTTGATTCCTGCCCCCATCCCAACCAAGAACACAAGCCTCTCGAAAGCGAACCCATAGTTCCTTGTGCAATTAAGTGCTTGTATTTACCATGTGGGAATGCAACCATCCAGCCAATCTTAGCTGCTCCACGGTCGTGACTGGAGTATAGAATCAAAGCACTTTTTGCAAGAGTGGCAAATACCAGGGCATTGTATAGAGAAGTAGCACTAGTTGCAAATAAAATGATAATAACCAATTTTTACTATTGGGATGGAAGTTTATTTCCTCCATATAAACTGAGTTGCAATTCCACTTGAGTGAATTCTTTTGATGAGGTCTTTACCAAACATGGGCTGTTTACCACTTCCTTCTCTGCAGGTGCCGTTCAGAGGTGAGAAAAAATCACCATCTGACGTGGGGGAAAGAGCACGGGGTCAGATGAGCTGGCCCAGCCCAGGCTGAATGCTGGGACAATCTCTCCATGTGACCACATGACCTTCCTACTTGCTGGGCCTCATCCCTGGGCAGAGCCCTGTGTCCAAGGTGCCCAGGCTCACAGGGACCTACCCTCAGCCTCCCCCTACTTCCCAGGGCAGCTCCCCCTGCTAACTCTGGTGCTGTGCAATTTCCATGCAGGATTTCATTTGAAAGGACTGATTTTAAATTATTTCAGAAGAACCTCTCACTACATAAGGTTCTTCTCAGCTCTGACAAGATAGGATATATTCACACCACCTTTTTTTCAGGTAGAGCACCATTAAATTCTCACCCCTACCATTCAGTATTTGGTTACAAGCAAGGAACTCCCAATGATGAAAGAGATTTAAACAAAAGACAGCTCTCTCCTTTCCCTCAACCCCCATGTTTAATCATTGAATATGCAAAGGCTGGCTGCAGAATGTCTCTTGCAGACAGCCCCAAACGCTTCATTCCAGCCACCTCTGCACCATCTAGACTTCCTTCCCACTTAAGTTACCCACACCATCCTCTTTATTTTCCCGCCCCTTCCATCTGTGCCCTTGCTGCCCTGCCCTCTTGCTTCTGGGCCAGTCTTTATGACCCCAACAAGGCCATTTTCCTAAAAAGCAGGCAAATCACACTATTGCACTGCTCCGCCACCAGATGCCTCCCACCCCACCCTCTGCCTGAAAAGCACAGTTAGGGCACCTTTGCCTGGCATCCAAGGTCTCCTCAAACTGTCTTTGCAGCCTCACTGCCACTGAAGTTCTGTGCTTCTGTTTGCCAACTCACTGTCTCTTCCTATGCTGGCACAGCTTTGCCCACACCCTTCTCTCCATAGGAAATGCCTTTCAAAATCCTATTGTAACCCACCCAAAGCCCACGTTAACATCCTACCCAGCATAGAGATGAGTGACCTCTGCTTCTGTGTTCCCTCCCACGACTTGAACTTCTCTTGATCACTCAGGTTTTTGTTTTGTTTCTTTCTGCTTTCTTTACAGTGTAATCTAACATCTGGTTTCATGGAAAAATGATGAATTTGGGAACCCATCGACCCTGAATTCAAATCCAGTCCCTCTTGCATGTAGCACAGTGGGCTTGTCAGCCACAGGGAAGCAGGCGCCATGACTCTCTCATCACAGATCCGTACCCAGCATTCAGCTGTGCTTCTCACTGTTCCAAGTGATTTACAGGAATTATTTTATCCCATGCACACAGCAACCATCACAGAGCTAGGCGACCAGTGCAAAGATGACACGCAAATTCAGGAAGCTTTCCGTATTTTTTTTTTTTCTTTCGAGACCGAGTTTCGCTCTATCGCCTAGGCTGGAGTGCAGTGGAGTGATCTCGGCTCACTGCAAGCTCCGCCTTCTGGGTTCATGCCATTCTCCTGCCTCGGCCTCCCGAGTAGTGGGACTACAGGTGCCCACTGCCACGTCCGGCTGATTTTTTTGTATTTTTTGGTAAAGACAGGGTATCACCATGTTAGCCAGGATGGTCTTGATCTGCTGACCTCGTGATCTGCTCACCTCGGCCTCCCAAAGTCCATATTTTTAAAATAGAAATGTCCAAACACCTTGTTTTGTTTTACTTTATTTTTATGTATTTTCAGTTCATCACCTGTGTCTACTTTTAAGTCATTTCCCCACTCCAGAGAGCCACTTCCTGTGAGTGGCATCTGTCTTTAAATACGCTTGTATGCATGAAGAATGTACAGAATGGTTTGCCTCCTTTTTTTTTTTTTTTTTTTTTTGAGATGGAGTTTCACTCTTGTTGCCCAGGCTAGAGTATAATGGCATGATCTCGGCTCACTGCAACCTCCACCTCCTGGGTTCCAGCGATTCTTCTGCCTCAGCCTCCTGAGTAGCTGGGATTACAGGCACCCACCACCACGCCCGGCTAATTTTGTGTTTTTAGTAGAGATAGGGTTTCTCCATGTTAGTCAGGCTGGTCTCGAACTCCCAACCTCAGGGGATCCGCCCACCTCAGCCTCCCAAAGTGCTGGGATTACAGGACTGAGCCACTGCCCCCAGCCTACTTACATTTTTAAATGACTAAGAGTGTTGGGCTAGGCCCTCACTGGCTTCTCATCAGTGCCTGTGTTTCTACCACAGGATAGGGGCTGGTCTCGTTTGCTGATGATGCCTTGCCCCACAGTGAGCCTCCGCCTGGTTCAGACACCATTCTTCTCAGCCACACCTCTTGGGCCTGTGTCTCTGAGCTACATAAACTCTGCCCAACGCAGTGTTGAACATTATCTTCTACGTCACTGCATCTTTGTATTAATCCACGTCCTAGGGTACGTCAGTCAGTAATTTTCACTACGACCAGACTGCTGTCAAAGCAGAGGCCCCAGTTTATTCCTACCCCACCGCTGTGCGTTTGATTTCTGTTTCCACCCATCCTTAGCCAACACTTGGATTTATTAGGCTTTTTGAACCTAGAGAATCCCAGGGGTATGAAATGAAAGAATAATGTAGTTAATTTGGCATTTCTCTGATTACACATGCATTGAGTATCTCTTCATATTATTTTAAGCACCCAGACTCGTCCTTTTCTGAACTGCCTGTTCATTTTATTTACACATTTTTGGGTTTCCTCTTTTTTTTTTCATTCTTAATTTGAAGATATATTATCTTGTATATTCTGCATAACAATCTCTTGTCAGTTTCAGGTCTTCTCTTAGGCAATCATTCATCTCTTCGCTGCACGGTATCCTCTGCTGAACAGAAAAACAACATCTTGAGTCATCAAATCTATTTCTTTCCCCTATGAGTTGTACTTCTGAGGTACTGCTTAAGAATTCCTTCCTCACCCCCAAATTATGAAGACATCCTCCATTCTCTTCAATTATCTTTACAGCTTTGTCTTTCACGGTGAGATCTTCATGCCTTCCAGAGGTTGCCCTTGCTTGGTGCGAGGCAGCGATACAACCACACTTTCTCCATAGACTGAGCGTGTTACCTCAATGCTGGTTACAAACCCATTCATCTCTCCTCACCGATGTGCGGTGCCCCCCACTATCATGTACTGGACTCCCAAAGATATAAACCTGTCCTTGAAATCTGTTATCTATTTCTTCTGTCTACAGGTCAGTTCTTTGACCAGACACACAATCTTTCTTACTGTCCCTTTCTAGCCCGTCTTAATATCTGACAGACTAATTCCTCCCCTTTTCTCATTTTCAAAATTGTCTCCTCTTATTCCGGACACTTGTCATTTCATAAATTTAGAAATTCTTGTTGTTGTTTTGATACAAGGTCTTACTCTGACACTCAGGCTGGAGCACAGTGGCATGATCTCAGCTCACTATAGCCTCAAACTCCTGGGCTCAAGTGATCCTCCCACCTCAGCTTCCTGGGTAGCTGGGACTACAGGAGAGAGTCACCACACCTGGCTAATTTACTGTACTTTTTGTAGAGAAGAGGTTTTGCCGTGTTGCCCAGGCTGGTCTGGAACTTCTGAGTTCATGCAATCTGCCTGCCTTGGCCTCCTATGGTGATTACAGTTGTGAGCCACCACACCCAGTCAATGGTTTGATTTTAACCAGTGGTGAAATTGCTGGATAATATGGTAGTTTTATTTCTAATTGAGGAAACTTACTGTTTTTCATAATGACTGTTCTAATTACATTCTCATCAACAGTATACAAAAGTTATTTTCTGCACATCCTCACCAGCACTTGCTGTTGTTTGTCTTTTTTAGTAGCCAGTCTAACAGGTGTGAGGTGATATTTCACTGTGGTTATAATTTCACTATATACCATGTATGTTCAAAGGAGATAAAATCAGTATATCAAGGATGTATCTACACTTTCATGTTTCTTGTAGCATTATTTACAGTAAAAGCAAAGTATGGAAACAATCTAAATGTCCATCAACTAATACATGGATAAAGAAAATGTGGCACATATATAAATATATATGTGATATACATAAATACTATATATATATATATAAAATGGGATTTTTTTTAAAGTTCTGTCATTCGTGACAAATGAATGAATCTGGGAAACATTATACTAAGTGAAATAAGCTAGGCACAGACAGACAAATACCACATAATTTCACTTGTGTGCGGAAGCTAAGAAAGTCAACCTCATAGAGAGTAGAATGTTGGTTACTAGGGGCTGGGGGATTGTGTAGGAGTTGGTGAGATGTTGGTCCAAGGATACAAAACTTCAATTAGATAGGAAGAGTAAGTTCAAGAGATCTTTGTACAACATGGTGACTATAGTTAGTAAGAAGGCATTGTACTTTGAAAATTGCTAAGAGAGTAGATTTTAAATGTTCTCATCACAAAAACAGATAATTATGTGAGGGAATGCATATGTTAATTAGCTCAATTGAGCCATTCTACAATTCTTTTTAAAAAGTAGTAGTTTGATTTTAAAAATAATTGCACTTGAATTTTTATTAGAAGGGCATTACATTGGTAGATTTATTGAGGGGAAATAAATGTCTTCACAATGCCAAGTTGCCTAATCCATGAATTTGGTATGTATCTAAGCTTTTTAAACATATAATTTCATATCATTTAATAGATTTTTTAAAGCATTTTCATAAAACTCTTACATATTTAATGTTAAGCTAATTGTTTTATCATTTGTAGCTATTGTTGTAGTAAACAATGAGAAAATTGCAATGATTACATTCTACCATTTAATAACTACACAGCATGTCAGGCATGGTGGCTCACGTCTGTAACCACAGCATATATTTTTGGCCAAGGCAGGTGAACCACTTGAAGCCAGGAGTTCCAGACCAGCCTGGCCAACATAGTAAAACTCCATCTTTAC